GTTCAGATTCTTGATTTCTATTTACATATTCAGATTAATTTTTGAATGTACGCTGAAATTTAGACTTGCGAGGGTTCTCCATTTGGGAAATTCAATGGAGACGTGATTGGTTCACGCCCCCGTTTGTTTTTTAGTGTTCTTTAGTCTAACTGTTATACTCTTAATTAACACTGTGGGGCGCCACACTAGAGTTCGATGATGTGAGTGTGAATGTGACTGGAGATTGATGCGTATTTAAGCGATTGAATAATGCATATTTCTTGGCTACAATCCTGATTGTAAATGTAGTTAAGTGAATCACTAGCCCCCTTGCCTTGTTCTCGGCCCCTCAATAAGATCTTCCATCTTCGTTGGAATTCTCGTGCTGTCAACTGAATTACCATTTTTCCACACGACCACACTCTGCATCATCGATATATTACCTTTCGCCTGGAACGAAGCCGTGATGATCGTAACATGAGGGTTCTCGTAGCTGTAGCGCACGTGGAAATATCCGAAAGAGCGACTTGTCAATTCCTACGTAAGAAATACATATCAAAACAAATATATTATTTGTAGAAGCAGTTCTACAGTTCTCCGTCAACAAAATACTGTCCCACCTGATGTCCCTGTTCAGCATGTCGGTGATATGCTCGTAATACTGATGGTATCACTTGCGTACATAGATCTCGGACTGAGTATACTCGTATTCCATGGGAAGCAGGTCTGGAAGGGCCATCGTTGAGCCATCTATCCACATTTTACGAGGAGCAGATATAAATCGCTGAGTCGCCCCATCCATTGGGAGTTCAGTTGCAAATGAGCTGTTTGACACGAAACTCGATCGAGTTTTGGGCCGTTCGATACCAGTCAATCGCTACTCGGTTGGTTCATCGTAGCCATTCGAAACGAAAGCTAAAGTCTACACCTACAACACAAGAGTTGCGATGCCAACGGGTGAGTCCAATGTGGCAGTATTAGCGCTAAGAGGAGCATATAAATCGTACCAAGATGAGCCAGTTCGTATGATAGTAGAATTACCATTGAAAGAAACAGCTTCGCTTGGACAATGTAAAATTGAGTTTCGAGAACGAAAGCGACCAGATACAACGGCGAGAATGCAAACTTGCGTTGTAGAAACTGGTTCAGCATCAGAAACGACATAACTTCCAGTGCAGCAAACACCAAGATATTCACGACGGCATAAATTCCCCAATTACCAGCACCGCCAGGGTAGTAAACAATATTCGGTAGCTGCTCAAGCACGGACTTGTACGTGACAAATGCTATTGGGACAACACACTCAATATACTCGACGAGTGCAAGATATTCGCAGTGGAATAACAGCTGGAGTCCTTGTAAAACGACCTGTTTTGTCTGCGTACCATTTGCATTCGTGCCAGAGTCTCCTTGGTGAATTGTTGAACTTTTACCAACATTCATTGGGTCTCTTCTTGATGATACTTTTGTGAGATCTGGTTCGATTGGCTGTACCGAAGTTTTATGGAGAAGACCAGCTATCAACCGCGTTTGGTGACGAATCGGTCGTGGAGTATTCACGGTATGAACAGTGCTCTGACTGTACGAGCCTGATGCTGCCAGGAGTTCAAGTTGCCCGGATCGATCATCTGGTAAAGGATGTGGAATGCATGCCTGCAATCGCGCACCGTGCATAAAGGTGATGTTGCTAGCACTGGGGTCGCGTGTCACTGTAAGAATCATCGCTAGCAATTCTGTAGTTCCAGTTTGAGCAGAGGGCAGAGAGTAGCTTCTCGATGATTGGCGATCATGAAGTAAAGCCACTAAAACATTTGCATTGGCACGTACTTCGCGGAACATCAGCGGCGATGAATAATGCAGATAGGTACACAGACCCCGCACTTGACATACAAACCGAGATGAACAACGTACTATAAAGATCCACGGTAAAAGTTACAATTTGTGGCATGAAGTTTTCGAGATCACGCGTAGCATTCACCATGAAATATTTGGCTCCAAATCTCCACATCGGCAACACAATTACGGTGACACCTCGGTACCTCGAAGGAATGAATTCGTACAGCGCTTTGTAGAATGGGTAAATTGCAATGAGGACCATGTACGCAACGTGATAGCGCTGAAATCTCTGAAGGTGAGGGCGACAGGGAGAGCTTTTCGTGAAGGGATCCTTGCCAAACACGAGCACAAGTGCCACCGGAACATAAATCATAACCACCAGACCTGTAGCTTGAAAGATAAATGGAAGAGGAAATCCGATATTGCTTGATGCAGTTATTGCTGTTAACATATTAGCCACAATGACTAAGGCAGCGGCAATCAGAACGTTTGAAAGCGGAGCTTCCATAACCGGAACAAGTTTGGCTAACTCGTACATGCCCGTACAATTCATCGTGGACAACATCAATGCCAGACGAATCCAAAATACCCAGTTGGCACTCCATCCTTCAGAAGGAGGTCGAAGCGGTAGATACTCCAATAAAATAGCTGCCAATAGAGCAGGCAGCGGAGTGACAAGACAAGCTGTAATCAACCATGTGTGGGAAGTGACCTTGCAGTAGAAATCGAAGCTTTCGAGACTATAGTGTTTCCCGGGGTCCGAAAACCAACAAACTCCAACACAGCGATGCGGGGGCCAACCCGCACGGAAGTAGTAGCCGAATGTATTGATGTGTTGGTGTCTTGGAAGATTGTAAAGTGAGCTCCTTGGGAGACCGTGAGTCTGATGGTAACCAGCTCGTGCTCGCCAAGTGAACCCAAAGAGAGAGAGAGGCAGACCGTCGTGGAGAGACTGCTGGTAATGTACATGAAACCGCACCAAGGGAAACAT